TCTTTTCATTTGGTTTTCTCTACAGTGTTTATGCCTGAGGTTTATTGCCAGCAGTAATAAGAGTGTCCAAGTATGTTATGGGACTAACCAAATTCCCAATGCTTTAAAATATATTTCATGGGCCTCAGAGTCAGTTAAAAGCTGATTGATTATACAGCAAATATATCAGAACTGGTAGTTATGAAATATCCCATTTCTTCAACTCTCTCTCTCATAAGCATGAACATCACTTTGGGGAGTTGTGGAGAAAATGTCTCAGACAACTTGGAAGAAAAATCACTGCAGGTTTTCCATGACAAGAGCAAGGTCTGGAAGCCAGGCAATGTTTAATAAAAGGCCTTGTCAATTGACGTTCCACATGAACAAATATTCCTAATTTAAGCAGTTTGGTGTGGCCTGCTTGTTGAGATTTCAGGATTCATTTGCTGAAACACGTTTCATTTTTCTGATAAAGGAAGTTAATGGGAAGGATTGGTCAGGTGGACCCTTTATCTGACTAGTTTATCACCGACAGCAAAGTTCCCATTTAATTGTTCAAGATTCGGGTAGAAAGTTCTAGTGTGTAAAAAAAAGGAACAGGAATGATTAGACACAGCCTATGCCAAGGGTGCTACAGATGTTTAATGTTTTCAATTTGCATATTTTGTCAATGATTGTTCATCTGTTAATATTCCTTCTTCACTTTGTTTGTTGTAGTCTATCCTAGATTATGAAATCAAATTCCTATTTACTTTCTGCTAATGATTTAGGAAGCTCTATCCCAGCTACTGTTCCCTGGAGGAGACAGAGTGTCCAACTGATACAAAATACAGCATCTTGGTGAGCAGTTAACGCTCACTTTTTGATGACGCTGCAGTAGCTCCTCACTGTGCAGTAGGTCTCATGTGGCAGGGAGTTTTTCTGAGTGCTGTGCGACAGGTAAAAACTCAGTACACACATGTGCGGGTTGACTGGAAGGAGAGAACGCATCCGCTCAGAGTTCAGCAGAAGTCTAGCAATCCTGAAAGAAAGTTTAAAGTCTGAGGGAAAAAGTAAATACGTTGACATCCTATGAAAGGGACCTGAACCCACAGTAGTCTATTCGGATCTGAATGTGGAGCACTTCATTTTAGCCACATGAAGATCACCAAAGCGTTTACTGATGTGTTTCTGAGGCTGCAGGAGTGTGTAACTCAGAGTTGAACAAGATTTTCTTTTTCTTTTTGGTAGAGCACCTCAAGACTGATTTAGACCACCCAAACTGAATAAAAGCTGTGCAAAAGATTTTCTCCTTTAAAACTTATAGCATGGTTTTTAATCACTGTCTGGGGCCACAGGATTCTCTGGACAGGCCTTTAGAGTGGTGACGGAGACTGTGTGTGCAGTGTCTCCCAGGAAGCTATGTGGCTGGGTCTCTGAATTGTCTCCTTTCTCGGGGTGGTGTGCAAGCCCATTCAATGAAACCCAGCAATTTGCACCATCCTTTATGTGCCTGAGAGAATCACTTCCCAAAGCGGTGAAAACAGTCTGGCAGCTGCTGGTGGGAGCCGAGGAGTCCACCTCAGGCGCTGCCTTTCGGTGGGTTTCCAGCAGCGCTCACTGCCGAGTCAAGATTTGTGCATCCTTCCAGCCCACAGCATAAGCAGCATGGCGGGCAGGTAAGTCATCCCTTTTTCTGGGTGTCTTCTGAGAGCTCCCACTCGGGCCCAATCAAGTGTAAGCCTCCTGAATGGGAAAGGCAGCATCTGCAGCCTCACACTGAGCCTGTTGCCGTAGAACAGCAAGGAACACACTGAGTCAGTCGGGTGGGCTGGTTCTCATGTATTTTTATTTTCTCCTGGCTTGGAAGGCACACTGCATTTTGCTGCTGTTATTATCAAGGGTGGAAAGGAAGCTGGGGTTTTATAGCAAACAGCCAAAGCAGGCTGGGGCAAGACAGAGCAGCTCAGGATCGGAAGGGGATTGAGCAGTAGCAGTTTGTTTGCAGGGTGAAGGGGGCGTAATTTATTCAGCTGCAGCGGAGACTAGAAGCCAATCTAACTTTGACCCATTTATCTTTAGGAAACTAATTAGAGAGTCTGGCTTAGTATTGTTAGGGAGGGTTCAGTTTTCCTTATCCAGCCTAAGCAAAGACGAAAGGGTGTGTGCGAGCGTGTGTGTGTGCATGTGTGTGTGTGTGTGTGTGTGAGTGTGTGTGTGTGCACAGACAGACTGTGGAAGGATCAGTTCTAACCTAAAGAGAAGGGCTGAACGTCTAGAAAATAAAAGGGTTTCTTAAATCCAGCCTGACACCCTTTTGAAATGCAAAGCGGTGGAATTCACCGGATGCAGAGTCCTTTGAGGTGGCAATGAAATGCCATGGCAATTTGAAATGAACAACTGTTTCCCAATCCTTACAACCCAGGCTTCTTAAATCACATCCAAATGGCCCCAAAGAGGCATGGGAGAACAATGTTTATGAGTAGCATTTTACTCTGAAAATAGTTTTAGCCACCAGACACCCCCCCCCAAAAAAAAAACACACACAAGTTCCCAACACTTGTTGCCACATCCATTTTGTTTCAAAGCAATAATTTAAAAAATTAGAGTGCCCTTCCCTACACCAGAGCTGGAGAATAAACTTTGGACAGTGCATTTACTAGCCCAGCACTGAAGTCCCTTCCCAGCCCCAAAGTTCATATCTTGCTGGTGTTTTGGGAGTACATGCCTGTAGGTGGTGTTATTAGGAACAGATTTACTTCTACTGGCATACCAATGAATGGAAGAAGATGAAGCCGTTTTTTTACATTTTTTATTCTTAATATATATATATATATATATATATATATATATATATTACATCCTGACCACAGTTTCCCCTCCCTCCTCTCTTCCCAGTCCCCACAGCCTTCCTTCACCACCATCCCCATCCCCTCCTCCTCCATTTCCCTTTAGAACAAGGCAAGCCTCTCATGAATATCAAACAAACATGGCATATCATGTTGCAATAAGACTAGGCACCTCCCCTTGTATTAAGGCTGGTAAGGAAAAGGGTCTCAAAAGCCAAAGGTGGCAACAGAGTCAGAGACGGCCCCTGCTCCCACGGTCAGGAGTCCCACAAGAAGACCAACACTGGCACTGGGAGACGTCTCAGGGATGAGCTAGAAACCCAGTGCCATGGAAGTTCCTGGGACTGTGCAAGGGTAGGTAGCCCAGACACCTTGGTTAGAATCACGCTTGATTGGCCAGACCAAAAAAAAAAAAAAAAAGAGCCAATGAAATGAAAGGATTCCTAATGAGAGTCTTCTATAGTTATAGATTGGTGCCCAGCCCAGTTGTCATCAGAGATGCTTCAGCCAGCAGCTGATGGAAACAGATGAAGATCAGAACCACAGCCAAACATCAGGCAGAGCAAGGAGGATCGTGTGGAGGGGAAGGATTGCAGAAGCCAGGGGGGACAAGGACACCACAAAACCCCCACAGAATCAACTAACCCTGTGCAAAGGGGCTCACAGAGACCCAACTGGCAACCAGGAAGCATGGACTGACTGACCTAGGCCCTCTGCACATATGTTACAGTTGGGATTTTTATTTTTTTTGAAAAAAATCTTATCAAAAATAGAATTTGGGGTTTTAGTGTTTGGTGACAGTAGAGAAGGGAAGTGAGCAGACAAGGTGGTAATATGAATACATCCATCTGAGGACACTGAAGAAAGATGCAGTTCTCAGTTACAAGGCTATGGTACCCATCCGCTGAGGAGATCACACTGGCTCATTTGCTGGAAAAACTGGAGCTCCCAAGGCGACATAAGGAAGAGCAGGGGTCAACCACCTGACTGATTCTATCTTCATTTGGCCAAACTAACAGACAACGCTGCCCAGACATCACTCTCTCAGTCCCCACTTAACACCAGGAAACCACCGAGGCCTCACCCTTCCGTCTCTCCCTCTAGGCCCTCCCCTCTAGGGCATTGGTGTTCTAGATTTGGGTTCTCTTATCTCATCCACCGTGCCCTGGGCTAGGAGCTGGAACCATGGGCTCATGGCTACTCAGCAGGGAGAAGTTCTTCTTGAGATAAATGAATTGTAAAGGAGACCGTTCACACAGTACTAGTGTAAGGCGGGGGAGGAGGGTGCAGAGTAGCATTACATCATGGAAGTGCAGCTCTAGAGCGACAGATGCCTCATTTCATGGTTCTAGGACATGTGTGTTGTGCAGGTCTTTGTGAGACTTGTGTTTTGTTATGTTTCAGACGGGATCTATGGCTCTAGGCTGGCCTTGGACTCTCCAGGTAGCTCAGGATGCTTTTGAACTGGGATTACAAGTATGCTTCAGGACACGGGTCCTTCTATAGGAATGTGACCATCATAAAAGAGCATCCTGAAAACCACAGTACATGTTTTAGTTAATGGAAACAGTCAAAGTAACCGGTCTTGTCCTCAGCCCAATATAGGCCACTTCCAGACAAAGCAATATCCAGTATCCCCTCCCACAAAGCTCAAGCAAGAAACAAACAAACAAACCAAACTGAGACAACACACCTAGTACATTCAAAATAGGAACAACTAAAAATACACAGAGAGAAAACAGTTTATACCATCAACTATTTTTAAGCCCCTAAATTCTCTGTCTTGGCTAATGGAAAAATTAGCTCCTTGTGCAGGAGAATCTACGTTGGTTTGTTTTTATTATTAGTGAGGTAACTATTCTCTCAACACGAGAGAAAAGGCCAAAGATAGCTTGTCCAGATGAGCTAGTTTTTCAGGCAGATGACAATAGTCTGAACATTGAAATAGAATTTAAATCAGCCACCAAGTGAGGTAGTGTTCCACGAAGATTAGACTGAAAACCTTGCCACGGGGAATGAATATCAAAACAGTTATGAACCGCAAATCCCAAATAGAGAGGAAACTTGGAAACAAGTTGGCCCCTCGCAGTGGTCAGCTCGTCCCAGGTAAGGGGAGAAGGGAGTGGGGAGATGGCATTTCTCAGGAATGTTCTAGATGAACGGGATGAACGAAAGAACGAGACCCGTGCTTACACTGTGCTGCATGGTCCTCCACACAGTCCTCTGGGAAGCAAGAGGAAAACAAATTCAAAAGAAAAACAGAAAGAGATTATTTTATACATCATAGCACAGCACAGGCATAACGCATAGATTCATCACTTGGCTGGCATTCTATCTACCCCGCCCACGCTCTTAGCAACTTGGAGAATAAAAAAAAGCTTGACATCCAGGACAAGGTGAGATACTTACTGGAGTTGCTTTGGATTAAATCATTCCAGCTTGATGAGTTAACTTCCAGGTCTTTTTTTTTTTTTTTTTTTTTTTTAAGATTGACTTTTAAAAACCACATTCCTCTAAGGGCTGTAATTTAGAGTTCAGAATTGTCCTAAGGAAAGAGCTGCTGTAAGTAGCAGGCACTCCCTGCCTGAGTGTGTTCGGGAGCAAGCACATTGCGCTCTAATTTTCTGAGCTCTTCGTCTAATTGCCTTTTCAGGAGGATAATGCCCAATACCTGCGTCCTCAGACCCGAGTGCTCCAGCTACTTTGTGCTCATTTAGTTCTGTACCTGATGTTTCCAGTGAGTGGAAACTGTCTAGACTCATAGCCTTACATCAAAGTATTTAAGAGAATCCACAGAGGATAAATTTAGGAAAAGGAGAAGAGAACCAGGCCCTTTCACAGTGCAAACCATGACCTCCGGCCCACTTAACCGGACACTTTAGCAGCCTGTGGGGACAGGGAGCTGCTGGGGTGAGATGTGGGGGCGAGGCCAGTCTGTCAGCAGGATCAGCTCATGGCCTTGGCATCCTCAATAAAATGCTGCTGTTGGCAGTGAGGACTCTGATATTTCCCCCTGAAGCTAGCTTTCTATCAGTGGCTGAATTTATACAAATACAATCATCTGCTTTTAGAAAACAAAGCATGACTTGAGGGTAGCATGTTTGAAGGCTGCTGCCTACTGTCAACAGCATTTTAGGTCCACACAACTTTCAAAGAACAAACAGAGACATTTCCTTGTGATGGGAGAGTGTGTAAGCTCCTCATGAAGGGGTTTCGACTTTCGGAGAGATGCCACGTTCTTTCCGATTCCCTTCTGTGAGTTTTAGCAGCGACTTGGGGCTTGAGATCTTTATTTCAAACACAAACCCCTTAATTACCAGTTCACATAAAAACACAGTTTACAATAACTGACATAAGAACATTTACCAACAGAGCCAGTTCCACAGGCACTAATTTAAAAGGTGCCAAGCAGTCACCCTCCGAGAGGCAGTGTCAGAATGAAGTTATTTTCGTTTAGGCTAACAGGGTGGGGTAAGTGGAGAGGTCTATTGATGTTGGCTTTTAAAACATTTTTTTTTCCTCTGCTGAAACAGAGAAATCTTTTCCAATTATCCTCCTTTTCTGGGACACAGGCTTCTTATGAATATTCAGGAATCATCTTCTCAGGGCAAAACAAGCCAGGAGTAGGTGTCACAGGCCTCGCTAATGGTGGGGATGGGCTGTAACAGAGAACAGACCCATCGGGCCACCCCATAGGGCTGCCCCCTAAACAGGTCCACGGAAGACTGGAAGACCGTGTGACTGCAGGCGCCTGTTCCGAAGGCAAAAGTACTGCTAAAAGGGGAAAGGCCTTGAGGAAGCCAGGGGCTGCACAGGGAGATTCTATTGGGAGCTTGAGGCCCAGCGTTTATGTCTTATGGATGACTTTGGTGGAACATCTTTTGATGTAGGGATGTTTGATTTTAGGCGTGAAAGAGAACAACTGGAAGGAGGCTGGCTGTGACTTAAAAATGGCCAGTCCTCAAGTTTGAAAACAGATCGGAATCTCCTAACAGTATGAACAAGGCTGCAGCTCCCACAGACACAGCCTGAAGCCATACCTAGGAGAAAGTCAGTACTTTTGCTGGTGGAGAGCACTGTACAGTAAATTTAGCTCCTTGCTTGATATGAGTGCTTTGGGGCTGATCCTGGGTTTTTAATGTATGAACTGTTGTCATTTACTGTCTAAAAAAATTGATAAAAATATTTTCAGAGACATACAATAGAATGTCTTCAACCAGTTTGCTGTCAATAGTTTTCAGGATTTTGGGGGATACACTTGGAAGGTTACTCAGTGAAGTTTATTTTTGCTTTTTTGAAGGTCAAAACTGCAGCTTTGATATATGTTAGAATTTGAACATCTTATGAAAATTGTAGGTGTTGTATTTTATTTAGGTTGTGTTTTACTTCAATAATATTATGTGGAATAGCAGTTTTTTCTTTCTTATTTTCTTTTTCCCATTTAAGGGTATGTGTTTACTTCTCCTTGGGTATGCTTTTCTGTTTCATGGGGAAACTATCAATTGATTGTCACAGATATCAATATGATGTCCAAATTTAATGCAGTTTAAGTAAGTGTATGATATGCCCTTATTCTTTAAAAGGCTTTATTCACCTTTTTCTACTGTGAGAAGAATTAAGAGCAGGTTTCCTCTTGTAAAAGAGTTTTGAGCTGTGCTCTGTGGGTACAATTTTGTATGTGAGATGTCTAAAATGAATTCATCTGACACTGTACCCCAGTTTTAAACTGGGGTTGGCAGATTTCTTAGAGGGCTGAACCCCACTGCTAAAGTGAAGTCAAGTCTATTGGCACCAAATGATTTTGCTTAGAGAACACAAAGCGTTTTGTTCAGTAGAATCTGAACAATGTGCTCTAAAGAAAACCAATATTCCTGGAAAAGGCTCTTGTTTGGCAGAGTAGAATCAGTTGCTTAAAAGAAAAAAAAAAAGGAACTAATTTTTAAAAATTGTCTTGAAAACATGATAGGGGACAGTAGTGAGCAAGGGGAGATAGGCTGAAGCAGTTACACATATGATTCCATTCCCCAAACCTGGACTGAAAAAGGGATTTTATTTGGTAATAAAGGGCAATAAATTCAAAACATAATTTAGCAGTTAATGAGAACAGCTACCCTTTTTCTTTGACACTTAATGGACAGACCTTTATGCTTAAGTACGTTTGATTTTATAGAGAGAAATGCTGAGATGTACTGTCATGGAGGCCAAACACAAGCAATTTAATCTTAGAAGTTCTACACTGGAGAAGGGGTTTTAACTAAAACCATAAAAGCCATTTATAACAGTGACTAATAAAAGTATTTCACGACCAACAAGCGTCAAGATTGAGTTTATATTATACAATCAGACGTGGTTCAAATGCTGTATGACCCGAAGGGTTTTATCTGTTAATTTTACATCAAGATAATTGGTAAAGCAACATTCATAGCACTGACTTCACTGGTATATAAATTGTTTATAGCATTATGAGTTGAAGACATTGAATTGGAAATGATCAGGCCATATTTCTTTGAAATTAGGAGCTCTTAGTTTTTATGCCATTAAAAAACATTAAAAACTGCATTTATTATGGCAGATAAATTTTTCTGACATAAAAGCCCCCCAGTCCTCAACACACATTTAAGTGGCCCTAAGTTCCCATGTTTTAAAAAAGACATCTAGGGAGAAAAGAACCACCCCAACAACATCATTAATTTGGGCCTCCCTGAAGGAGGCTTTCCACATAGAAAACTCAGCCTTTGAGGAATCGTAAGAAAATGACAGATTATTATAATCACATAAGCAAACATTCAAAGGAAAGAATGAAGCAGACGAATTAGAGATGTGTTTCTGCAATCACGCATCGGGAAGACGCCGCCACTGGTCTTCCAAAGCAATATTTCAGAAGAATTATGAAGTTAGAGTTGCAGCCATTACACTAGTGGGTTAACACCTTCAAGAGCTCCTAAGTAATGAAACCCATGATCTAAAAGGGCGCGGGGAGAGAACCTTCTGCTGTCCACAAATCTAACTGAGAACGCAGGCAGGCACAAGAATGAGACAGTGTTTCACACGCCCTTACTGAGCCGAGGACCCGGGCCGCAGGGCCTCCCTGGCCTTCACAGCCGCCAACCGCAGAACTCACCAGCCGGTCCAAGCTCGTGCCTGCCGCCGTCGTGGGTCTTTCCTCGGGGTTGTAGGGCCGAAAGCGGGTGTTAAAATTTTCTGGAGCCGAGCGAGCAGATCTGAGAGCCGGAGCAGGTTTGGGCTGGCCACAGCCCTGGAAGACCTGAAAGGACCAGAGCGAGTGTCACTATGAAACTGACGTTAAACTCACAATCCAGGAGCCAACTACACGGCACTCTTCACATTTTGTATGAAATTTTTATTCTAAAAAAAAAAAAAATCCCTCTGCTTTCTACTTTTGAAGGTACTGCTGTATAAACACCAATAGGAAAGAACTGCCACACGAATAGAGTGAGCAGCTATGTGCATGTCCTCCTCAGGGTTGTACCACACAGAGACAGTCTTCATTATCCATGGATTACATGCTTGTCCTCCTGAAGGGTGCCCCAGAACCCCAAGGCCAACACTCAAATGCTTCCATGGATACAGACAATGCGGCAAGCAAACAGGAGTGTGCCTGCTCGCAGGAAACACCGAACGGAGGCCCTCTCCACTCTTGGTTTCCATGTCATAGTGCAAAGGATTGCCCTTCTGGGGTCTGCTTAGCCCACGTTGTCACACTGTGATTTCACTGTGCCAACGGGTCCCTGGCGAAGGCAGAGCTCACGGGCTGTCTGATGAACCAGACACCAGGTAGGAACAGACCGGTCTCCCAGGGGTAATGTACATTTTACGCGCACTTCATTCGGCCCGAGTCTGGTCTCCTGGGCTTACCGCTTCTCAAGTGCACAGATCTTAGATAAGGTTTCTTACGCCAAAACAAGTCAGAACATGTCAAGTCACACTCTAAGCAGCAGATCTAATCCTATGTTTCCTTTAGGAATCAGGACTTGGAATTTGCCAGTTCAGTTTGCATCATCATCTGGAACATAATGATGACAAGTAGCAGGAACAAGCTATTAAATACGAGAATTACAGATATATAAATATTTAAAATAAAAGTAAAGTATAAAAATAACTATGATATTTATAAAATTAAATTACATATAAATACAATTTATATGTAAATACACATGTAATATATATTATATACATTATAAAAGTTACACAAATCTCCATAGGATGTGTCTTAGTTGTGTCTCAGACTCCTTCCTATGCTTGACTTCAGCACTCAACAAGCAACCGTACAGGATGCATGTTATCTACGGTGAAAAGTGTATTTCAGATGCAGTATACTGAGGTCAAACGGCTTGAAGGGCTCTCTTTCTAATAACGCCACGGGAACATCTTTTTTAAACATATTCTCCTGAGCAATGGTGTGAAAATAGGACAAGCAAATGTGGGTGAAATCCACATAGCAATGTTTTCTTCTAATTTTGTTGTTGGCAGCTGTTCATGTCACAGTTAGGATTGCTGTGGGAAATCAAACATTATATTCTAATGAACCTAGGGACTGAGCTGCCAATCTTTTTCCGCAGTGATTCCACTCAGGTTGGAGAGGGAGCATTTCCTTCCTTGTTTTTGGATGTTTTCTCCCCTGTACCAGTTTTCAAGAGAGAATGCCCTTCCTAGACTTCCAGGAAGCATAGTGTGACGGCTGTTCTTGGTTGTCAACTTGACTACATTTGGAATTAACGAAAACCCAAGTGGCTGGGTACATCTGTGAGAGATTTATATATATATATTTTTTGTAGCTGAACAATTTGAAGAAAAGACCCATTTTTTAATCAGGTCTTTGAAGGACCGAGGAAGAGAATGCTAGGGCCCAGGTTCCCGACGGTTCTGCGTGCTATGTGGGCGCCACTGAGAAATGGAGAGCTGCAGTACTACAACAGCTCTTCCGGGCAACCTGGAGAAACCCAGTCAGGGGAAATCTTCGCAGTGGGCAGCATGCTGGGCAGTTCATGCGGTCATGCATTTTGTTTGGAAGGAGGAATATCCAGATGCGCAATTGCTCACTGACTCATGGGCTGTAGCCAGTGGACTGGATGAATGCTAAAGGACTTGGAAAGAGCAGGATTGGAAAATTGGTGAGAAAGACATTTGGGGAAGAAGTGTGTGTAGACAGATCTCTTCAAAGGTACTTTGTGACTCATGTAAATATTCACCAAAAGGTGACTACAAAAGAAGCTCTACAATCAGGTAGATAAACTGACACATTCTGTGGCCGGTCAGCCTCTTTCCCCAGCCACCCCTGTCATTGCCCAACGGGCACATGGACCAAGTTGCTGCGGTGGCAAAGATAGAGATTGTGCCTTGGCTTGACAACATGGACCTGTACTCACTGAGGCTAACCTGGCTGCAGCTGCTGACGACAGCTGGATCTGCCAAGAGCAGAAAACTGAGCCCTGGATATGGCACCATTCCTAGGGTGACCAGCCAATGACTGGACCACATTAGACCAATTCCTTGGTGGAAAGGAAAAGGCTTTGTCCTCACTGGCATAGATAATTATTCCAGTTATAGATTTGCCTTTTTTTGCACATAATGCTTCCGCCAAAACCACCACCCACAAACTCACAGAATACCTTATCCACTATCTGGATATTCCACACAGTATAGCTCCTGACCAAGAACTCACTTCACTTCTCTGGCTGTGGGCCCACAATCGCGCAATCCACTGGTCCAACCACGTTCCCCATCGTTCTGAAGCAGCTCACGAGAGAGAAGGATGGAATGGGCTTTTGAAGGCACCGGTACAGCACCAGTTAGGTGGCAGCAGCTGGCGTGGGGTTCGCCAGAAGACGGAGCATGTTTTAAATCGGCATGCACTGTGCGGTACGGCTTCTCCCACAGTCAGGACCCACAGGTCTAGCAATCAAGGGATGGAATAGTTCTAGTCGCTATCGCCCCTAGTGATTTACTAGGAAAGCTTCTGCTTCCTGTCCCCTAGGCCTGGAGTCACAACCTGCACCTTTTGGACTGGAAGCTCAGCCCCCCTCCTGGATGCTTTGGGCTTTTGATGATGCCCTTAGCCAACAGGCTAAGAAAGTAATGGCAGTGCTAGGAAGGGTGACTGACCCAGCTGCCGAGGGGGATTGGATTGCCCCTCCACAGCGGAGGTAAGAGAGATTCTGTCAGGAGTGCAGGGATCCTAGGTGTCCCTTGGTGCTATCATGTCCTGGTCAAAGTCAAAGGAAAACTACAACAACCTAACCCAGACGGGGTGAGGAAGGGCACAGACCCCTCAGAAATGAAGTTATGGGTCACTCTTCCAGGAAGAGAGCTGGAAGACTTGCTGAGGACGGAGGAAACACAGAATGGGTCATAAAGGAAGGTAGTTATAAATACCAGCTAAGACCACGTGACAGCTAAGACCAGTTACAGAACTGATTATATTGACACAAGTGTTTCTGTCATATTTTGTTTAGAATGTGTTTGTACAGATATGTATCTTTCCTCCGATCAATTTATCATATAATGTCAATTAAGAGGATATCGGAGGTTATCATATTTAAGTTTGAGATGCTGAAAGAATGACCCTAAAAATTGCTGCCACCTATTCTGAAATCTATAATGAGTTTGAGATTGTACAAGAATAGTTATATCATGTTAGGTGTAATTATGACCTGATTAACTATAGGACACATCTGCAGTTGTACGAGGGATAGTTCTATCGTGTTAGGTGTAATCATGCCCTGGTCTGTGTTTTCTTTTGTAAATTAAGTCTGACATGGAGAGATGATTGACAAGGGGTAGACTTGTGATGGTTATTTCAGTTGTCAGCTTTCCTACATTTGGAATTAACTAAAACCCAAGTGGCTAAGTACATTTGCAAGGGATTTTTTTGGGGTCTCAATTACATCATTTTAAGTTGGAAGACCCACTTTTAATCTAGATCTTTTGGGGTAGGAAGATCCACTTTTAATCAGAGTCGGACCCTCTGGTCGCAGCCTATAGGAAGGACATGAAGAAGGAAGCTTGCTCCCCTCTTCACTGGCATTAGAGGGGAAGTCTTCAGAATTCCAGCATGTGCTGAAGACACCGAGCACCGTGGGCTGAACGCCTACTAACAACTTGGACCTTCCCTTGGTACACAGCCACTGTTGGACGGACGGGACAACAGCCTGTAAGCCACTCTGACATAAAGTCACGTTCATTCTCTAAATTCTTTTCCTCTAGAGAGCCCTGACTAATGCACATAGTAACACTTTTCAGAACAGATTCAAGTTTAACTTTATGTTTCCCACATTTGTATAAAGGAGATGATTTTTCTCCCAGATAGGTTGAGTTCTGTTCTGTTTTGTTTTTTTAAAGAACAATGCCTGGTACTGGAAAGCTAGCCAGCTACCAAGGGCTAGTGAAGTCACGTGTCTTGGAGGAGAACCCACAGCCACTACCTTATTAACCTGGCATAATCCCACTGCATTCTAAATATTTAGCTTCACACCCACAAGTAAGTGCACTCCCCACCCATCCCCAAAGAAAGGTCTCTGACACCGACAGAGGCATTACGGAAAATGACAAGGAATCAAAGTGCAGAGGAAAGCGATGGTTTGGTAACCAATCTCGCAGATTCACCTGCAATCCAACTCCTTCACTCAAGACTTGGGAAACATCCAGGCAGAGCAGGCAGAAAGATGGTAACAGCCAGAGAGACAGAATTTTGCTGTGAGAGTTCCTCTCTTGGAAATGCTGGGGAAGCTACCCCCATGAGGTCTCAACAACATGACTGTATAAACAAGACCCAGAATGAGAATGAGACTAGCAGACATCATAACAAGAAAGGTGGAAATCTCCTAGGACCCCAACCCTAGCCAAAATCAATAGGCAACTGAGGAATGCTCAGGATGGGACAAATAATCTTCCCCCAAAAAGAGGCCTCAATTGGTTATCCAAACCCAAATAGCCCTGAAATCATACACACACAAGCAACCTTATATGGACTAAGCGGGTTATAGTTATATGTCTACACACACACACACACACACACACACACACACACACATACACACACACACACACACGTAACATATATATTTGGAGGAAAATACATATAATAAGAATTAAAGAAAAGAAGGCCAGAGAGCATGAATTTGAGAGCAAAGAGTACAAGGCAACAACTGGAGAGAAAAAAGGAAAAAAGAAAGTGGTGCAATTGTATTTTAATGTAAATAAAGACCCTTCCCTCAACCGTGTGAATTAATTCTTAACCTGTATATG